ACCAGGCTAAAAAACAACCGATTTATGAAAACGACTCTTAGAAGTTATACCTATATACCGGCAAACTTACCATCGTGATGTTCTTATTACCGCTTATTTTTGGCTTAATATCTTTCCGTATTTGAGAAGAATTATTCGGATTCTATAAAAGAAATAATCAATATTCTATGTATTTAGAGCACCCTGTATATTTACTTACTATATCTACAACAGGTCCACTTTCTGGTGAAACAATACATCTTGCGGCTTCTTGGAGAATTTTTTTCGTTCTAATTGATTTCATAATTTAAACTTAAACGACCCTACCCGCCGACAGACTAAATTCAGACTGAAGACTGACAAGTTTGAACAAAAATATTTGGTTCCATCAAAGAGCGCCCCACCCTATGGTTCAATACAGAGACATCTTTAAGGAGTTTATAATTTTTATTTAAAATTAAATAATATCTTGGCACAATACAAAGATAACTTTTAAAATGCAGTCATGTTAAAATACTATTCTTATTATGTAGTGAAATACTGAGATATATTTGACAGTGTAATACTAGGACAACTTATAAAACCGAGATATCTTAAAATATATAACTTAATACTTGGGAAAAGAGTGAGACTTCTTAAAATATCCTACTATTTCACCAACAAAAATGTAAAATAACGATTCCCAACTAAAACGAAAGAAAGAGACATTTTAAGATATGTTACTATTAACTTAAAAACTAATTAAAATGTATAAATTGCAACACTAAGATATAAGTTAGACTGTGCCCAAATTAATGAATTTTGTATATCTGACTATAGCACCAGAAAGAGCTTTTTTTACATTGTAATGATCCGGATAACTCAAAATCGGCATTTTTTAAGTTGTCCTAGTATTGTTCTAGCACAGCGATGTGTTGTTTTTTTTTTGAAGCAATGGAAAGATACGGTTTTTTTTGTTGTAACTGACACGTTTTTTCTTTCTTAAAATTAAGGAACTGGATCTGGAACAAAATAAGGAGCTGGATCTGTGACAAGCTAAGGAGTTGGCCTTTGTAATCTGGAACTGCAGAATCATTGTCAGCTAGTTGCCACTAGAGCTGCGGAATATCTTGGACTGAGTTGCGTAAGGAACTGCAGTGTTTTGAAGTCATCGTAGGCTCACCTACCATTAAAAAAAGGAACTGCAGTGTTTTGAAGTCATCGTAGGCTCACCGCTCACCTACCATTAAGACACGGACCAGACCAGTTCGACCGTTGAAATCCGGAAACACAAGATAAGTGTCGGCCAGGACCACACACACAATTTTTGAGTCACTAGTCAATTTTAATTTTAAACTCATCATTAGTCAAACGTAAACCGTAAAATGTGTTAAAATCAATTAATTTTCTTTTCTTTTATATGTAATATCAGTCATCAGTCAAGTTCGAAATTAAAGCCGAATAATTGTTTTGAAATTTAAGTTCTTTTTTTTTTTCTTACTTTCAACTGACAAGTTAATGACAAAAATTTACTTTTATTATACATCTAAAGGTATGGCGCCCAAATTAATTTAATTGAATTCTTTTAAGTCTTTTTAATTAAAGACCTTGTCATTGACTTGAAGGTAAATTCTAAACGAATCCCACTGACCTATTTTGATCTGAGCTAGGCCTGAGGCTTGTAAGAATTCTTATTATAAGGATTTTTACAATGAGACCCAGGTGAGGGTTAGAAACGTATCATCTGGTGCAAAATATGTTTTTATAAAACGTTTATTAGTAAAACGTAACATGAGGATATAACAAATAGATATTCCGAAAGTATTTTTTTCAATGAATATTCTGGACAATTTAAGAAGTTAAGTGCAAGAGATCAAGTTTGTATCTACTTATGGTTTGTTGGGCATCAAACGGCAAGCTTTAGAGATGTGGCTGATCGGTTTGATGTTACAATTAGCACTTTACACCGAATTATAAGAAGAATATCCTACTTCTTGTCAAATATGACATGATAACTTGGCCAAATGAAGGAGACAAAAATCAAATAGAGCAGCATTTTAGGCAAAATGGATTTCCAGGTGTACTTGGAGTTATTGATGGTACACACATTTAAATTGACAAACCATCACAAGATCCAGATTCTTATATAAACAGAAAAGGATACTTTTCAATTCAGCTAAAAAAGAAATCTTATTTCCTGTATAATTCACCCCCTTACAAGTAAACATTTAAAAACAGTTTGTCTTTGGATTCTTTGAAAAGGATACTATTAATATTTTTAAATAAAAAATCTAATGTGTCAACACATAACTTTCCTGTACCTAAAGTTATTACACTTTATTAGAGGCTTTTTTGGTTATGTACCACCTCTGTAATTGTTTGGAGATTGGATAATTAAATATATATATATATATATTTTTAACACACATCTTGAAACATTTTTTATATCTTCATTGCCAACAAAAATATTGAAAAATAAAAATTTTGCACTCTATAAAGTACCCCCCAGATGTGCCTACCATGCCCAAAATTTAATCAGCTCACTGCAAGATGTATTAAAGCCTAAGTTTAAAATTTTGTATTTGTCCATTTTTGAGTTATTGAGGATACAGACAGACATCACGAAAATAGTCAAAACTTGACTAATATATTTGAAAATACTTATTATTTCATGTTCAGCATAATCCAGCCTTCTTGTGGTGCATCAACTAGTGATGTGAGGCGAGAATATTCTCCCGAGAATATTTTCGAGAACGAGAATATTCTCGTGTAGAAAATTCTCAACGGTAATTTTCTCATAATGCTTAGTCCTATAAGCACATAAATGGTTTTATTTTGTTATTGTTTATGATTCATATCATAAATAAATCTTTAAAGTTTATCTAAACCCATTAGTTTCAACACTGATTTTCGTCAGGAATTGTTTACAGCTAAGAGCGCTCACTGGTGAACACTGTCTTTTTGACTTAAATTGTTACACGATAAAAACAATGTAAATCATAGTATTTTTGTTGTTGCTGGTGAGAGTTGTTAAAAGATGTATTCAATATGCCGCTCGAGTTTGATGTCACTGTCATTAAATTTGAGTTGGTTTTGGTAGATCGTTCTTAGAAAATTCTCATAATCGAGAATATTCTCCATTTTTTATTCTCGAGAATTTTTCATCACTAGCATCAACAAATGTAAAATGTTTGACACATATATCATTTCAAATAAAATCTTGGGATTTGATTAAAAAATATACCTAATCAGATAAATTCTCAATGTTGAATGTCAAGGTGTTCTGAATAAATTTGCACTTCATAAGGAATATTCATGATAATTTGAAGTATGTAGGGCCTAACAAATATAATATATTGATATATAATAAAATATATGACCTTTAAGGAAAGCCAAGGCAGTTTTTTATTTGAAAATATTTTTTTTTGTATAAGGTTCAAACAAATACATATATTAAATTTTTAGATGCAGTTGGTATGTGATCATACAATGATTTGTTGGATATCCTGGATCTGTCCATGACAGCAGAGTTTTTCGAACATCCCCATTGAACAACACACTGGCAGAAAAATGTGGTAATAATTTGTACATATTAGGGGACAGTGGATATCCGCTTTTACAACACCTGATAACTCCATTTAAAAATAGAGGACAGTTGACAAGACCTCAAATAAGATATAATACAATACTGTCGAGAAATAGAGTAATCATTGAACACACCATTGGAATTATAAAACAAAGGTTTCGACAGTTATTTCATCTAAAACTGAGAAATATCAGGGACATGATACATCTAATTAGAGCCTGTGTTGTTCTTCACAATATATGTCTTGGAGATAATTTAAATTTCAACCAAGAAGTTTTAGAGGAACCAATTCAAGAAAATATTGAAAATTACGATATAGAAGATATTGAGCAAGACAGGAATGCAATAGAAATTAGGAATCGTATTGTAAATATATTATAATTATTTTTAATTTACCTACCTTTGTACAATTATATTTAGTATAATTTACTCCTTCTATGCAGCCTTTAAAACTAGTTCTTATTTATGTACATTTATTAATACAATAAAAACTGTTTTAGCATTTGGACTTGATTTTATTTCTTGCTTATTTAAATTATAGTACCTAGGTATTTAACAAATAAAAAAAACAGAACCAATTCAAAAATATATATTGAAAAGTAAATACATAAGTAGGTAGCTAATAACAAAATAAACATAACTTAAACACAAAATAAAAATCAGCCTTTTAAGGAACTAAAACTTAAAAACAAAAATCAGCCTTTTAAGGAACTAAAACAAAAATCAGCCTTTTAAGAAACAAAACTTAAAATATTTACAATAAACAGGCAAAATACATTTTATTATTTAAATAAAATATTTTTATTTATAGAAAATGTATAATAAAAACAAAAAAACAGCCTTTTTAAGGAATTAAAAATAAAATATTTACAATAAAGAGGTAAATGAAGACTCTCCACTCTCAGTTAAAGTTTTGATCAAATCGTTTCTTTCCGCTAAAAGGTCATTTCTACGTTTAATTTCTTTTACTTTTTGTTTCTGGATTTTTATTTTTTCTCCTTCTATTTTTAATCTTTTGCTTTGCTATTCTTTCCTATCTTTTCTTATTTCATCTAAGATAGCATTTCTATTGACTAATATTTTGCTTGCTTTTTTTGTTTTGTGTTCTTCATTTGGAATCAGCACAGGAATTTTATTCTCCTGATTATTACTGGGGCCGTCAAATCTTTCATCAGATATTTCATCTATTGTTGTTGATGAAAGCAATATTTCGGGTCTAATATTTTTTTTTGCCCAAGATTTCCTCCATTTGTTGGGCATATGGAAATATCTTACGGCCTCCCCCAGTTTGTTTATTGTTGTCTACATACTTCTAAAAGTTTCGATCAAGGACCCGCCACCTATTTTCGACATTGTTGGGGGTCGAATTGATGCTGAAAGTTTCATTTAACTTTTTGGAAATCACTTCCCACAGCTTCTTAAGGCTTTTAATTTCAAAACTTCCCAATTTTTTCCTCTATGACCCATACAACTCTATTAACATGTTTGTATCTTCAACTGTCCAAAACCTGTATTCATTTTCTTCAGTTTGTGATTCTGGTAGAATTACAAATTCTATTAATTCTGCAAGGAAAAAATACATATTTAGAAAAAATGTAAAAAACATATACCATTTTATTACCTTCCAAATTGTTCATAATTAGACTAGTTGTCTTCCTATTCTAATTTGTTAAATATTTATCTGGATCTCGACGGCGGATTGAACTAATACAATTTTTAGATAAAACCACGATAAAACTCAGAGGGATCTACTATGATAAAACTAAAAACAAAAACACGGTGTGGAATAAAAAATATAATTGACATTTGACAAGCGTGATGACACTTGGCAGTCAGAATTGCGTTCCAACAAGAATTTAGTCAGAAAACAGTACACAAACAGTGCAGTAGTCTGCGCAATAAACAAATCAGAGATTAATTTCGGATCGGTCATGGATTCCTTGTTGGAACAAACCTAATGTAGAAACATTTTATTAATTTTTATAAAAATAAAATACACAAAGTTATGTTTTATTATGACATAAATCCAAATGTTGTCTAAGTAATGTCAGTTTTTCTCTATTGATTTTATTACTTTCTGTAATTTCCAATCGAATTGCCTTTAATTCTTCCAATCTTGCTTCCTCTAAAAACAACTGGCGTTTTCGAAATAAATCCAAACGTTTACTAGATCTATTTTCAGGAGTAGTACCTTGTGATGAAGATGGAGTTACTGTAAGGTTATTAGTTTCTGTGTTTGGTGGTACAGGTTCATCTGTTGCAGTTGATGATATGAATGCAGGATTATTAACTGTTTTGTCAGAAGTAAATATTGCAGTTGATGATATGAATGCAGGATTATTAACTGTTTTGTCAGAAGTAAATATTTGTTCAAACCGAACATAAAATTTCCAGTTTACTCGACCACGACCAGTAGCTGATTTTTTATTATTATCTTTAGTTCTTTTAAAAGTATTTTACATATTTCTTAATTTTTGATCCAAATATGTTTCATCCACATTAACATTTGTTTTTTCACATAATGATTTTGCTATTTAGTCCCATAATACCCTCTTTTTAACTATTGGATTCCGAAAATTTTGTAAATTGCTTTCATATTCATCCAATAGCATAAGACTTTTATGGTCATCCCAAACAGGATCATGATTTTCTTTAATTTCCTCCTGTAATTGTTCCCAAATGTTGTCTAAGTAATGTCAGTTTTTCTCTATTGATTTTATTACTTTCTGTAATTTCCAATCGAATTGCCTTTAATTCTTCCAATCTTGCTTCCTCTAAAAACAACTGGCGTTTTCGAAATAAATCCAAACGTGTAAAACGATTACCTTACTATTATTATTTTTCTTTATGATGGTTTAATTTTAAAAACCAAATGTACACACCAAAGATCAAAATTAAACGTGAAATGTCAACCTAGAGTACTGAAAAATCCCCATAACCAATAAAAAATACTGAAAATCCTTAAATTAAAAAATTCCTTAGATTGGAAACACTGTGTTTATTACTTCGTTTACAAAACTCACCATAGAATGTTCCTGTTGCGAATGTTGAGCAACGATTACAACTAATCAATACTCAACAAATGTCGTTCAGAGGATCCAACAACTAACCATACTCAACTGTTGCGTCGGCTGAACGCGCCCAATGATGTGTAAAATGCAACTTCTTCTTCATTTCTTCTGATTCCAGAACTATCATTTTGAGCATAACTAGCACCTTGACTATTAAATTGTTTAGTTTTACAATTGGAAGCCCGATGACCGTATCAAATATAGTAAGAAGAGTTACAACAGCCATTTGCCAGGTAAAAGCTGATTTTGTTAAACTTCCATCAGAGGAAGAAGAAATAATTGCAATTCAGCAAGGCTTTTTGAACATAGCTGGTTTTCCCCGAGTACTTTTAGCAGTAGATGGTACACACATCAAAATCCAGAGTCCAGGTGGGGAAGGAGCTGAATGGTTCAGAAACAGAAAATGATTTTTTTCAATTAATACTATGGTAGCTTGTGATCATGAATTGAAAATACGGAATGTTGTTGCAAGATGGCCTGGTTCCTCACATGATGCTGTAGTATTTATGAACTCTGGTCTTAAAAGACAATTTGTAAATGGCATGGAAAACTGCTTGATCATAGGTGACAGCGGTTATGCTGTTGAAAGGTATTTTATGACACCTTTGGAAAATCCAGGTACTCCTGCTGAAGTAAGATACCAAGAATCACTCATCAGAACCAGAAATATTGTTGAAAGGTGTATTGGAATATGGAAACGAAGATTTCCTTGTCTATCATTAGGTTTAAGAACCAAACTTGAGTTAACTCAGGACATAATTGTAGCAACATCCGTTTTACATAATGCGGCAAGAATCCATGGTGATGCTGTTATTGAAGTAAACGAAGAAATTGAAGCTCTTGTACAGGAATAAGTTCCAGGACCAAACATTTTTGTTGACATGGAGGCTGGTGCATATAGAACAGAATTAATACAAGAGTATTTTTCAAGATTGTAGGCTGTTTGATAAAAAAAATTTTTGTTTTGTTTATATTAAAAACTGTATAGTTGAAAAGGATTATTTTAGTTATTATTTAACCCTTAATATGATCTACATAGCATATTTAACAAAAATTCCCATTGATTTATTACACAGTTGAACAGTAGTTTAGAAATAAAACAAAAAATTAGTTCTACTTATCTTTACTTCTTTTCATTATTATTCAAAGAAAACCAAAGTAAATATAAAATTAAATTCTTTTCAGAAATATTAATAATACCTAACTTAAACAACTATTTTAAATATTTAGGAACCAAACTCCTATACATATACTTATATTAGAATACAAAAAAAAGTCTGTCACAGTAAGAATGTATTAGTTCAATTGTTAGTCACATGTTTAGTTTCAAGCCTGATGATGGCTAGGTATGGCTGAAACTATTAGCTACTGATGTATTTTCTAATAAATTACTGTGACCAAGTTTTTTTTGTATTCTGCAATATTTTTGAGAGTGTCACCTATATATTAAATGAACTACTATTCATATATTTTTTTAAAGTTTCTTCTTTTACTCTCTTCTCTATTTTTTTTATTTCGCCATCCATCTGAGCATTCTTAATGTCTTCCTCTGCTTTTTTTAATTTTAATTCCATCTCCTTTTCCTAGAATGCTATTTCATTTTTTAAATAAGTTGCTTGTAATTCTAGCACAACTTTTTTCGATTGTGATAATAGAGACACCTTCTGTGCTGCTTGTAATTTTGTTTTAATATTATTTTGTCTAGTCACTAAAAATTAAAAACAATCAAACCTTTAAAAGAAATAGGCCCAATACAAATTTTAGTAAATTTGTAAATGGTTGTTTATATATACAATATACAGGGTGTTATTGAAATACACGTACATATTAAAACTGGGTATTGCGCAGATCCCCACTGAATGTAGAAAAATATTATTTTTTAAAAATACCCCTTATTAAGGGAGTTATTAATTTTTGAAAATTAATTCTAAAACAAACGTACTTCACTGATATGTTGAGGATGACCTATATAAATTAGGTTTATTTACCTATTTTAAACATCAACAGTAATTAATATGCAAGTTTTTGTCAGATGATAAGAAAACTAGTCTTGTAAGAAATAACCATGTTGCCAAGATTTTCGAATTAATTTCTATTTCCGAAGACTGGTTTTTACTACCCTCGTTATCAAAAAACTAGAATATTTGATAAATGATTGTTTTTAAACTATACATTTTTGAAACTATAGATTATTAAAATTTTAGTTGATTTACGAATCTGGCTAACACGAGCGCGTCATTTCCAAGTTGGTAAAAAGTGTTGTTACGATTACTTTTAAATATTTTTTTACGATGCCACTATTTACGAATATTGAACTAACGGATATAGTGCTGGTTTATGGGGCAGCTGGAGAAAATTCTCGGCAAGCACAAATCCTGTATCGCGAACGGTTTCCAAATCGGAGAATTCCGGACTGTCGTACGTTTATTTCAACTGTTCAGCATCTAAGAGACCATGGAAAATTTGAGAGTGTCAATGCAGATCGAGGGAGAACAAGAACACAAAGAACATTGGCGGCCAAAGAAGAAATATTGGAAGCTGTTGAAAACCGGCCTCAATTAAGTTGTAGAAGACTAGGTCTTGAAATTGGAGTGTCCTCATTTGTTGTGTGGCGGACACTTAAAGAACAAGGTTTACATCCTTATCACATCCAAAAAGTCCAGGCCTTATATCCAGGTGATGAAGAAAAGAGAGTGGAGTTTTGTGAATGGATGATTCAAAAATGTGTTGATATTCCTGATTTTCTAAAAATATTATTGTATACTGACGAGGCTTCATTCACTCGTGATGGCGTGTTCAATATGCACAATACGCATATTTGGAGTGATGAAAATCCTCACGCCATTAGGGAAACTGGGCATTAAAGAAAATTTTCAATAAATGTTTGGGCTGGCATAATAGATCAGTATTTAATCGGGCCTTATGTTCTCCCGAACAGATTAAATGGGCCAGGATATCTCCACTTTTTAGAAGATATTTTGCCAGTACTCCTAGAAGAGATACCGTTACAATTAAGGCAACGGATGTGGTACCTACTAGATGGCGCTCCTCCTCACTTTGATTTAAACGTACGGCAGTTTTTGAACATTAGATTTCCTCAAAAGTGGATAGGCAGAAATGGACCTACTAAGTGGCCTCCGAGATCTCCGGACTTAAATCCATGCGATTTCTTTTTGTGGGGTCACATGAAACAACTGGTTTATAATGAACCTATTAATAGTGTTGAACAATTAACCAATAAAGTTAATGCGGTAGCCGAGGAACTACGACAAAATCCAAGACTAATTTCTAATGTTCAAAGTTCTTTGGAAAGACGATTGCAAGTGTGTGTAAATAATAATGGACGGCATTTTGAACAATTACTGTAATAAACTTTATTTTGAATTAATTGGTTTTGCTACGGCAACAGTGCAATTTCTATGGGTAAGTTCAATTTCGATTTATTTTACTTCTTTAAATATGGAAACTAGTAGGTCGGAAAAGGGGACTCTTCCCCAATATTTAAATTTTAGAATTTGAAATTAAAATTGGTGCCAATCGTTTTTGGTCATTACATACTATTCCCCATTTTAATATGTACGTGTATTTCAATAACACCCTGTATACATGCCTATTATAAACTATCTATTGTTAATATATAAAAAAACTATTTTTATTACCTTGCAATTCCTTAGATATAGGTCGTTTCAATGATTTAGGATTCCATCTTTGAGGCCGATTAATCACTGAATATTCTTTGTCAGGAGTTTCAAAGCATTTTACTGTGCCTGAAGTAGATGCTGGAAGTTTGACCTCTTCCTGAAACGAATTTAAATGAATTTATAATAATCTTGTACCTATTTAATTTTAGTCTATTTTATTTTAATCTTTTAATTATTGATAATAATACTTACCAAAACTTAACAAAAATTATATAGAACATACAGTGTCCCAGAATTGTCGCGCCAATAGGTGTATGACAAAACATATCTGTATTTTACCATAAAGCGTAATTTTAAATAACTTAATTTTTTTGTGTCTCAAAAATAATAAATAAAAATAATTTATATTTGGAGTCTATTAGTTTTACGTGAAACAAGGTTGAACCCCTAAAGATTATTGTTCAACTCAAAATTTTGTTGTCAACACTAATTAGCATGTCCATTCTGGGACACACTGTATATGCCTAAATTATACTTGATCACATTGAAGATAAATAACTTCTTCATCTTCCTCTTGTTCAATCTCATCACATTTCTCTTCCTCTTCAAGTGAATTGCCTATAGTTTCTTCAATAGGTTCATGATGCAATTCTATCGAATTATCTAAAAAGTTGTAAAAAAGTATTTACTATAATCAATAAAAATTAAGTAAGACTTACTATCATCATCATTGTCGTCATATCTAGGCGGAAGGCCTTCTACACTTACTAAAATTAAATTGTAAATGGTTTCTTCAACAGTTGTTAAAGGACTTATTTGTGGAGTTCCACCTCCTGTTTTAAACAACTGTTGTTTATTTCCTGCCACTTTTTTCCTGACATCTTTTTTTATTTGTTCGTATTTACTTTTTAGAGTTATATAGGTTCTGGGAGGTCCATTATAACTCTTTGTTAAATTCACACCCTAACTTTTTCCAGGTTTCCAGTTTTTGTCTCCAGGTAACTGCATCACTTTTCTTGCATTCTATGATTGATGTATACTTCGTTAGTAGCTTACTAAGTATTTGAAGTTCACACTTCGAAAAATTCGCTGAACAAACCTTCTTACGTACCTCATTTCCATTCATTTTCACTTTTTGGTAAATAATAATTTGTGAACGGCAAATGCGGTAAACCAAAACATAACCACAAATATTCTTCTTTTATCTGTATAATAATGAACTACTTATCTAAAGCGCTGTTGCCTTGTCGTAAACTGACTGTTGCTAATCAAGAGGATGAAATTTAAATGATAAACGAAAAGAAATATAACACGAAGTTTATCAGATGGATAAAATTTATCCGGTTGGTAACTGCCAGTCACTTTACCATGACATTAATAAACTGGCCCTAAATCCATTAAAGCTACTTTTTTCTTTTCCAAAACACTTTTTCCTAACTTTCTAGGTTTTTGCGATACTGAACTAGAAGATGTAGAACTTTGAGAAGTAGGCCTGTTTGTTTGTGGTGTAACCAAAAGATCTTGTTCCTGTGGGCTAGAGCCTTCTAAGCAACTAGGTGGCGTTTTAGACAAAAAAACTGACGTATCCTAGCTCTCATCTGCATTATCCTGCAATACAAGGACGTCATTAAATTAGGAGCCTACTGGCGAGAATCTTTCTAATTATAAATAATAAAATAAGCGGACAAAAATCTACTGATAGATTCTTGCCAAAAATAAAAAAAAACTCCTATGAATATGGCTTCAAAAATGCTTCGTTTCGGAGATACAGAGTGTTAAAGATAACCTCCTGAACAACTTTAATTAATATTTCCAAAGCGCTTGCCGGCAAAAAATGAGAATTTAGGATTACTTATTTTCTAATACTTTATAATACGGAATAATAATAGTGTAAAAACCTAAGTAATTGAGGAAACGTTTATTTGTTCATTTGCAAGTGTATCAGCAATATTATTTACCTCAAAATAATCATCCAGAGGACGTCTTAACACCTTGTATCTCCGAAATGATGCATATTGGATGCTTGTTTATAAGATGTTTTTCTCTTATTTTTTTGGCCAATGAAGCTGGAAGCTGATGACAAAGTTTTATCCACTAATATTGGGATACCCTGTAAATTGCTAAACACTGGTTTTTTACAGGTCCCTTCAACAGAAGAGCAAATGGTTTCCGAGATTTATAGCAATTTGAAATCTGTCTAGGAGCATTGGACGGCAAGCACATCCTTATAAGTAGATCATATTATTATAACTATAAGGGCACATACAGTGTAGTATTATTTGAATAGTGAATGCAAATTATGAATTCATATACGTTCATACTGGTACAAATGGCCGTGTATCTGATGGTGGAATATGGAACGAAACCAGTATTTACCAGCGGCTGATGTCAAAGAAATTGTGAATACCTAATCCTACAGAACTGTCTCTTCACTTTGTAGTGTATCACTCTATTTTTCGACATTTATTTTAATAAAAAATTACGTAAAACACTGGCGGTTTTTACAATCCAATCAACTATGTTTAATTTAACTTCAATTGGTCTATGGAATATGGGGAATTTACCAGCAAGTCGTCCAAAAGCAACCTCCACAACCATGCTTGCTCTACATATTTGATAATTAAATATCTTTTGCTCCTGCGTTAAATATCCACTTCTTGAATATGGCTTCATTAAATGTAAGTCTAGAACAAAAGCATCAGCCAAAATAATAAAATATGGGTAACTTGCGTTTGTCATTGGTAATGAATCATTTTCAGGTAGATTTATAGATTTGTCTTTGATACAATTATTTAAAACACCAGCATCAGAAGCTCTACCATTGCAACCAACATCAATAAATATAAATCTACAATGAGCATCAACCAATGCTAGTAATACAATGCTATGAAATCCTTTATAATTATAAAACATTGAACCTTCATTGTCTGGTTTTTTTATACGGATGTTTTCCATCCAATGCACCTACTGTGTGTGGAAATTGCCAAATTTCTTCGAAATCTTTACTAATTTTTCTTCATTCAACAGCATTCTGAGGAAACTGCAACATGTTTTTAAAAACAATGTTAAAATAAAAACCCAAAAATTAATATGCAGAGTTTTATTTTAATCTTAATCTTTACAAGCTATGATATCAGATTACTTTATTTTATTAAAAATAATCCTAGGAAAAATAATGAAGTCAGCAATTCACATAAGGTACACAGAGGTTCACTTACACTGCCAGTAAAAGTATATAGGGTCATCGATCATAACTCGCGTCTGTCGGCCGCTGTATCCTGGGGTGCTATTCTCGATTTCCTGTATTTTCTTATACGAAATTATTCTTTTAAAAATTTGCACAAAGGAATTAAATCCATATTCTTGAACATCACGAGAACAATACAATTACGTACATGATATTTTTCGCATGACTAATTTGATAACACTGTTTGGGAGCAGTGTATACATTTTAAAAACTTTATTATTTTTAAAGTTTACTTGTCATTAGTAAAAACCATCTAAATATTTGAAGTTCGACTTAAATTGAAAGGCATTTATTGAATAAGCGACATACATCAATAATTGTTTTATAAATATTAAACACGCACTTTACAGTGGCGCAGCCAGAATTTTGTATTAGGGGGGGGGGTTTTAAAAAAAATTGGGAGAGCAGTAAAAAACCGAGAATATATTATAGAACACAACACATAACGTTTATATAAGGAAATTTAAAAACAAACATAAATAAAAAATCTGATGTAGTCAGTTTACTCAAACAGCGAACATATAAAATACATTTGAAAAATATAAATGATAATAACAATATAAAAGTTTACAGATTTGCATATATCTACCCATTATCAAGAAACGAAAAACATAGTAAGATTATAAATTTAAATGTACCTACTTATTAATTATAATAAAATTGTAAGACGGCGAGATTGGAGAGCTAAGACATCAAGCACTTCATCTTCCAGAATAGGAATATCTGGATGTATATACATCAAAGCTAGGCCGTTTAATCTGTCCTCGCTAGTAGCGTGTCGCAAATAATTTTTTAAAAATTTCAGGGAAGAAAACGATCTCTCACAAGAACATGTTGTGACTGGTAAAGTTGCCATTATAATTAAAAGTTTGTGAATCGTGGGAAACAAATTTTTATTGCATCTTTCCAAAGCTTCAATCGCACTTCGTGGCTTTTCTGTTTTATCTTTGATAAACTGGACCCAAAGAGTAACTTCTCCCATAGCACCAGAATCGTCCAGTTCATAAAATTCCAAGAGCTGTTGGGTGGAATTAAAAACTTCTTTAATGTCTAAACTATTATTATTGCATAGAAGTTTTTGAAAAGGTTCAAGAGTATTTTTATGATTTAAAAATTTTGCATCTATTGCCTGTATTATTTGGTCGAGAAACGGAATATAAATAGCTCTTCGATAATACTCTTCCGGTGATGATCCTGGCACATTATTTCTTTTAGTTTGCCTATAAGTGGTCCTAGGTTGTAAGATTGTAATATCAAACTCATCACAAATCCTTTTTGTTTCCAGGTAAATATCTGAAAATGACTTCTTGTCGTCTTGTCTCATTTTTGTTAAAGATTTATTGACATTTTCAGCTGATTGAAGAGCTAAACTCAGGTCCAAATTTGGTGTCTGTAAGTACTTGCTCAGTGGTAAAGTTAGCAAAAACACAAATTTTACCATAAAAGTACATAAAAGAAAGCTACTTTGACAAATTGCCGATGAAAGTAATTGAGCGTCAGTTGCTGTTTTTTTATCGGTCTATGTGGAAATCTCAAACAAGACGTTTATTAGTGGGTTTAGAAGAGACACGAATGCATTCACGGCGTCGTGTCTCTGAATCCATCTGGTGGGACATAATCTTTTAAGTTTTTCTATTTTAGGTTTTTCTTCTAATTTGTTGATCTCATGTTCCAGCACACGTTGCCGTTTTGGAAAATTAAAAAAATTGTAAACCGTTTCGATAGTACCCAGACAATTTCGTACTTCTGCTACTGAACATCCATCAGAAAGTGCTAAATTGAAGCAGTGTGACGAACAATGAACGTAGAGGGCTTTGGGGTAGCTCTGCCGAACAATTGCTTGTGCTCCTCTTAGAGCACCACTCATTGCACTAGCTCCATCCTAACCTTGACCAACCAGATTTTTTACATCTAGCCCTACTTCTACCATGGCATTGCATATACTATTTGCTAAACCAGCGCCTGTAACATCAGAAACAGGAATAAACTGCAAAAATTCTTCCCTGATCATGCCATTTTCCACAAATCTTACACATAATGACATTTGAGTAGTACCACTTATGTCGGTTGTCTCGTCACATAAAACCGAGAAGTTTTTTGCAGCATTTACTTTGTCAACGAGTTTTTTTAATAAAATCGAATTGAACGATGATATTATTTCATTCTGAATTTGCCAGCTAATATAAGTTGCCTTAGCACCTGCTGTACTTAGGTGTTTTGCTAAAATATGATCTCCTGCCTCCATTCGAAATTTGAGTAGAGACCGAAAATTGCCCTCACCTTTGACTGGAGGTTCATTTATATCGAGTGGTCCGGAGTCACGGTGACCTCGAAATAAGTTTCCTAATCTAGCAAGATATATGGCAGTTTTAATTATGGATTTAAGGCACTTCCGATTATTAATTATTTGATCGTTTCGATGTTTGTCAATTTTTAAAATAACATTTTCAGACTTTCTCATCATCATATCTAAAAAGTTAGCTGCTCGTTCGATACAATTCTTATGATATAAATGTTTTTCATGATTTCTGAATTATTCTCTGGCATCCTTCCAGTTTTTAAACGGAGTTTTAACTAGTTTTCCACCCTTACTCGCTTGTTGCCCGACAACAGTGGAAAATAACGAACAGTACTTACAGAACACCGAATCTAAAGTTGGGAAGTAAACTAGCCAGCTCCACTCATTAAGCCATTTTATTTGGAATTTTAAGTTTCTAGGTCCTGACGATGGAAATTTAAAAGACATATCCGGTGACCAAGGTGTTTCTAGAAGTTTCCGCTTTGTAACATCATCGATTATTTTTCCAAAATACGTCCCAAAATCAAGTACCCAATTGTCGTCTTTTTGTAACTGTCGCTCACCAATATTTTCAGATATA